CCGGCCCCTCCCCCCAGGGGGGCGGGGGGAGCCGCGGCGGGGCGGTGCCGGGGCTGTGCCGTGTGTGCGGCACCCCCCGGCCCTCGGCGGGGCTGCTGGGCTTTCTGGCTTCTCCCGGTGCCTCGGCCGGGTTGCTTCGGTTTTACGTGCGAGCGGGACGCCGGGGAGCCCCGCAGCGGGAGCTGCTCCAGCCCCTGGGCATCTTCCCCTTTGCCGCTACGCAACGCAGGGCCCCCTCTCACCCTCCTTCGGCACTGATGAGCTCCCTGCACCCTCTTCTTCCACAGTGCTTGTACCAGTTCCTGGCGTTTCTCCCGGTGCCTCGGCCGGGTTGCTTCGGTTTTACGTGCGAGCGGGACGCCGGGGAGCCCCGCAGCGGGAGCTGCTCCAGCCCCTGGGCATCTTCCCCTTTGCCGCTACGCAACGCAGGGCCCCCTCTCACCCTCCTTCGGCACTGATGAGCTCCCTGCACCCTCTTCTTCCACAGTGCTTGTACCAGTTCCTGGCGTTCGTCCCACCAAGCAACGGGAGCCGGAGCAAACCGGGCACGGCGGCAGTAACGGTCGATACCCAGCATCCACTCACCCTTTTGCTCAACGGCTCTGTGGGTGACAGAGAGCTCTGCAAGTACGTGGCCCAGCCACAGAGAACACCTGGATAGCCCTATCCTATATTTTGTTCGGTTTTTTGTTTGTTTTTTTTTTTTTCTTAAGGCCATGCGCCTATTTATTGCCTGCTCATCACCTCCTTTTTCCTGACTGTTCAGACCTAGAGCTCAGTCTTCCCCCCGCTGCTGTAACTACATTGTAATTGTGCTGAAAGGATCTAGGCGCGAGCAGGAGCCGAAACGGTATGTGTTGAGGCAGCGCCTGGTTTCTCTTGCAGAGAGGCTGTAGTTCAAGACGACAGGTGATGTAGCAGGCAGCGCATGTGTGGTAAAGCATCTGTGTTGGGCTAGGGGAGGGTAATGCTTGTCAAAGGCAGAGCCAGGCAGCTCCTTGCTAGATCACGCTGTCAGGCCCAGTTTTCAGCTTGCCTTTCCTCCGAGCATTCAGGCTTACAGCCCCCCAAATGCTGCTGTGGTACTTGAACATAGCGGCGATGGCTCAGCAAGTTCCGTTTCCTTTATCCTTTGCAGGATTCAGTATCATTTTGGAGAGTTTGGCAATTATTCCCTTGTGGTAAAGACCCTAAGTACAAGCACCAAAACTGTTTCTTGTGACCTAGTCGTCAATGAAGGCCCTATCAACAGCTACCTCCGTATGTAATGCTCTGTTTTCCGCTTTCATTCCACAACTTGCATGTGTCGCAGCAGAACCAACTTCCTAAAAAGCCTGTGCAGCCAGTCACGCTGTGCTGATGTGTCATGGGCTTGCTCCTCTTCCCTCTCAGCATTTTACCTCCTTATGTTTTGTGTACCCATCTTGAGGCCCTGACCAGGATCAGGCCTCTTCACATGATATACTGTATGACCACAGCCTTTTTGCAGCAGGGGTTAGCCCAGAAAAATCAGTGGGTATGTGTCCAGAGGAAAATATTTTCATAGTTAGTTCCTGTTTCCCTAATGTTTATGTATGTACACAGAATCCTCCCTCTTCTTCCATCTGTCTTACTTCTCTCACAAAATAGGAAACAATTCATACAGTGTTTGGATTTTTGTTTGTTGTTGCGCTTTTAATTTTAAACCTTACATATTGCTTTTTTGTTCATCTCTTTTCCAGGGCTGTTTCAAACTTGTTTACGTCTCTTCCATTCTTTTCCTTTACATTAAGTTGTTCTTCAGTCCTTCCAGTTTTCCAACTGTAAAGAAAAATTCTCCATGCTTGCAAACTTGCTGTATTACCCTCTCCCCTGTCTTCTTCGTGTTGAGGCTGTTTCTAAAACTCTAGTTTCTTCTTCAGAACATATAGCACATCGACTCCTTCCTCACCATTGCCTTGTGATGCAGTGCAGTTCTATTTTGCCTTTTTTATGCCAAGATGCGCAGTCACTGAGCTGCACTTTGAAACTAGCCTGCTTTTGTTTTGGTTTGTTTTGGGGTTTGTTGTGTTTGTTTTGTTTTTTTTTTTTTTCCTTTGGGACTCGGGATGGGGATATGTATTGCACGGAGAAGGTGGTGTGATGATTGGTGGGTTGGGCTTTTTGTCATGTTCGTGTCACACTTGGCCAAGCCCAGGCTGCTGAATGGTTTTGTTAGAGCATTTATAGAGTTGTGTTCTTCTCTCTTTCATGTAGCTATTCTCTTTGCTTTCCTGGTTTACATGGGGATCCTTGCTATCCTGATTGTTGGGCGCCTTTTTATGAAGTAAGTGAACAGTATTGTAATACCTCCTCGCACGTGAAGTGGGGCTGGCAGTTTCAAAACACGCGTGGTAGTGTGGTAGTGCTTCAGAGTCCCGCTGTAGCCCTGCCTGCAGATCAGATCCTGTTATCAGGTTGCCATGTACAAGTTAAGCTGTGGTAGCTGTCCATACGATAATAAGTACAGAGTGATACGATTTCCCTCGAGGGGTATTTTGCAGCCTTGTTAGTTTGTGTGTAGAACAGTTACTGCAGAGTGGCTGACATCTGCTGTAAGCTCGCGCACACCCTGCCTCACCCTCCCGTGATTTGTTCCTGGGTCTAGCCCTGAATCGGCAATACGCGCCAGCGGGACCTAAGCGTGTGTAGCACATGCAGCCTTCTGTCCTGTGCACCGAATGACGTGAGTCATCCCTGCCTGTAAACAACCCGAGAATAAAGCCCCTGAACCGGAGCTTGTGGCAGTGTAATTACATACCGGGACTTAACTGCGGTTCCAGGTACTGGCTGAATCTCAGTGTTATGTATGTGAGCTGGGAAAACAGAAATAGGGACTGTCCCAACCTTTGATTTATGCTGCAAAATAGTTGATATTACAATGAAATTGGCTATAAAGTGCTTCTTGTTTTGTTTTGTGTTTTAAACTGTTACTAATTTTCAGAATTGATCCAGTCAGAAACTGGGTTTACAAGAAACTGAACCCCAGAGAAACCGATCGTCTGATCAATTCTGTGAGTGACCACAGTATCTTTAATTTGCATTCTGTAGTGTTTTCAGCTCTGAGGAACACACACTATCTAGACATCGAGGGACTTTTGTTTATTAGTAATCATCTTCCCCTTGTGCGTGTTCCCCTTGGCAAATCTTGTAGTGATGTCAGACAGGCAATTTTATGTCAGTGGAGAGTCTAGACTGGGTTTCCACACAAGTTTAGTGGATTCCCAGTAGAGCTCTTGCAAGTCTTGAACATACAGCTTTGTGCCCTCTTTAGTTCCCTTGAAGCAAACCTGTCCCCTTCTGACATAGACCATGTAAGGGAAAGGAAGAAATGCCAGCTTTCATGTCTGCTTCCAGCACAGTAGGAATTTTAGCAGGATCTACACTTAAGATTTCTCTGGCAGCCCTAGAGCTGACATTTCTGCGTGAGCCGTGTTTTGTACTAGAATGTAGATAGATCATCACAGTCTGGGCTTCACATCTAGGAAGTCCAAACCTGTCTAGAATCAAAAGACTTGAGAGCAGAGCTCTGCAGCAGTTCTTGTAGTTGTTCCTTCCCATAGCTGTGTTACAGCGATGTCTGCTTCTGTATGCTGTCACTGCGGCTGACTAGAGTAATTTAGGGAACTCGATTGGAAAGAAGCCACCCTTGCATTTAGAAGGATTCATTTTCTGCTGGTTAAGCTCTCTAAACAGTCTCTCTGTGGTGTCAGACAAGTTCTGATGGGGTGGGATGGGACGGCTTGTGTTTGAGAGTCAGCAACTGGATCTGCTCAGCTCTGTTGTAAAGCGGCACTCAGTGACGGCAAGCCTGTGGCTGATTTGGACTGGACCCAACTCTCATGAGTCTCAAACACAGGCTCTTTTCACTGCGTTGTTGTTTCCACCCTGGTCAAAGGTGGAGTGTGGAGCATCTGCAAATATTGTTGCAATATGGTGGAGCCATGAAGGGGTTAGAAGTAGCAAGTGGGGAAACAAAAAGGAAGATGGGGAGAACAAAGACAAACACAGTATGTGAAAGTTTGCAGTTTGCTGACCTCTGTTCCTTAGGCAGCTGATGCAGCTGCTGACTTGCCCTTCATGTGTCTGGTTTGTTCCTGAAGGAGCTCGGGTCCCCGAACACAACAGACTCCGCTAGCAGTGATCCCACCCTGCGTTTGTGGAGCACAGCCTCTCGGCAGCGGCTGCGTTCCCTGGACACTTTCCGAGGGTGAGCATAAGACCTTGCTCAAAAGCAACTCTTCCAAGGGGAATGAGATTTTTCCAATGGCGGTTTGACAGTGTATGGAAATATGTAGCAGATGGACGGTTCAAGGG